GGGCAACAGCACCATGCGGCCGCGCGTCGCGAGCTGATGTGAGCCTGGCGGCCCCCTCCGCGGCCTCAGGTCAAGGACAGCAGCATCGATGGAGCTGAAATTGCTCAGCAGAGCGCTGCAAAGCAAAGCAGCATGGTGATGGACACTGCATGTATGAACGACTGGCAATCCTAGCACACAAGAAGGGGCAGGTGTAGCCTAAGCCGCAGCCACAGCCGCCGTGTATGCCAACAGCCGCCGCGGCGCGCCTGCACAAGGCATCGAACACACCTCACCCCCCTCACCCGCAGCTAGCCGTGTTGCGCCTTGATTACGCGATGCTGCATGCCGCACACCGCACACTCATGTGCAACCGGCTCCGCTCACGCACACCGCTCCGGCACATCTGTTTCACATCAAGGTTGCCATGGAGGCAAAATCAGCCGTACGGCAAATCAGGTCATGGTGTGATGCACGTCAGTGGTGGGCAACGTGCCGACTTGTGCGGCCGGCGGGTGCCGAGTGCCCCTGCAAGTACCCGCTGAACACCAGCAGCTAGCAGAACAGCAGGCTGCTCTGCGGGCCACGAGGCGCACGTTGCAGGATTGTGATGACCGCCAGCAGCAATGGAGCAGCAGAGCCGTGTTAGTCCAGCATTCAGTGATGGTCATTTGGGTGAAGTGCAGCGGGCAGCGACAGCGGTGGCCACGAGGACTGCCGAAGCAGCTGCGCAAGCCAACCCAGACTTGCCGGGATGATTAGACCACAGTGAAGCGCATGCTTTTGGCATCGCTGCCAGGGCTGGCGCTTCAAAGCGCCAAAAGGCTGAAGCTGGTCAGAGACTGCGCAGCAAAACCGGGGAGCCGCGGCCCACAGCTCGCGCCGCACGCTGTACGGCACGCATGCATCACAAGCTGGCTGCTTGGTGAATGGGGCGTCAAGTGCAGCCGCCTGCGTGCCGAACGCACTGCCAGCTCGCGTGCAACAACGCTGCAGAACGTACTCAGCTTCCGGCAGGGCGCCTGAATCAGCTTGAGCACAGCAGCTTCGGCAGCCCTCGTGGCCACCGCTTTCGCTGCCAGCTGCGCTTGACCCAAAGGACCATCATTGCATGCTGGTCCAACACAACTTTGCTGCCTCCGCTGCTGCTGGCGGTCATCACACTCCTGCGACGCGCGCCTGCTGGCCCGCACAGCAGCCAGCTGTTCTGCCAGCTGCTGGTGTGCGTCAGCCTGCATGCGCGCTCGGCACCCCCCGGCCGCACGACAGCACGCTGCAGACCACTGACGGGAACAGCCCGGGTGCAGCGGAGCGCCGCAGTGTAAGCCCGCAATAGCGTGTGTGCATCCATGCATCTGGGCCGCCGGCAGCGTCGCCTGTGCCTGCACGGTGCGCGCTGCACCTGCTGCATCTGCTGCATATGCTGCACGCGCTGCGTGTGCTACGCATCCGCCAGCTGCACCACCAAAGCTAGCACATAACGGATTCAAAGATTGCGAGCGATCCGTACCAGAGACCCACATCGCGCGCCCGTCTGCGTTATACCAGAACAACCACCAGAGGAGCGATTGCAACGTAAACACAACAGCAGCAGAGAGCTGATAATAAAGATTGACTCGTATCTCAGTAAGGACTTTTGCGTTCGAGAGACAGCAAGGCTGCCGCATGCAGCGATGCTGACACACCTCTCCACCCCAGCGCACTCGTTCAAGCGTCAGACACCCTCTCGCCTGCTGAAATAGATAACTCAACATTGTTAAAGATCAAGGCCATC